ATCTATCTATCTATCTATCTATCTATCCATTTATTTATCTATGTATGTGTATATTTATATATCTATTTATTTATTTTAAAAGAGGAGACAGAAATTTACACAATATGAAAGAACGGTTGTGACAATTATGAATTAGTTCTGTACCACTGGCATTGGTTCTGAATAAGGGAGATTGTAGTAGGAACTCCCTCCTTCATGAGGAGTTCATTCCATTTTTAGACAGCTCCATTTGTCAGAAGTTCTTTCTTCTATTGAATCCAAATCTACCTTCCTGTCACTGCCACTTAATACCCTTCTGTCTTGTTTCTGCCCCCTGGCACAGTGAAATACATTACTTTAAATATTCTGGCAATGACAGAATTTCTTCCCGGTTGTGACTGGGAACCACATTGAGGTAGTAGTGGGCCTGGAGAAAGACGGGGACTCTCCTTCTAGCTATAACGGGAACCCAAGGGAACCCCTTTGACACTGGTAGGCTTAAGTGATTAAAACTTCTGTGCAGACATGACCAGCCAGTGTCATGTAGCATGTTTTACTATTAGTCAGTTATAATAACCCCCTAATTGCCTTAGCATTATAGAGAGAGCCCTGGATTAGGAGTCTAGAGGCTTGTATTTGGACCCTACTTCTGCCAGTCACTAGCTGGTTGACTTTGGCCAAGTTATTTCCAATCTCTGGGACTCAGTTTGATCCTCTGTAAACTGAAATGTTTAAACCAGACCTCAAGGGTCCCTCAGAACTCTGATGGTCTATTGCAGATTTCAGGAACGTGAGATGATGACAACAAAGAAGCAAGTTTGGTAGCATGGAGAGTACAGTGACTTAAGCACTGGAATAAGAGCTTTAAGGAAAATTAGGAGCAGCATAAAGAAAAAAGTTGAATATTCCCTCCTTTTGTTAAATATGCTGCTCCCTATGGATAGTATGAGGTCATGCAAATAGTAGAGTTTGCCTCTTGGAGGAAACTAATAAAACTTGGGAGGATAATTAACTGTAGTTCATAATTTTACATTTTTAAAAAGTTGTCATTGTTCTGTTTCATAGAGATTATATTAATGGTGATAGTGAACGGACTCACCAAGGTGACATACAAAAGCAATTTAGTGAAAATGTGGAAAGTCTCAGAAAGGATCTAAGGATTGAGTGTTCATTCCCCTCCCCCCCCCAGGATATAAGGATATCTGTAGATAAGGAAACTGAGGCCTGGAGAAGTAAAATACTTTTTTGAACTATCCGGAGTTCCTCTCCACTTCATTTCTTTAAGAATTTTGCAGCAACAAATATATATCTGTATATTTGTATATATGTATATATACATATATATACATACATACACACAGGCAATACATATATATGAAACACATACATATGTGTGTGTGCGCATGTAAATATATACATATATATATATATGTATAGTCATGACCCATCACTACTTTACTAGGGACTGAATTTATTTTTTTCTGGACAGCTGGAGAAATCAATAAATCTACCAAAACAAAAATTATCTAAGGGGAACTATGTGCTTCTCTGTAACAAAGGGATGTTTTGCTCTTGTGTCTTTTACCTGGAGAATTTCCTAGTGTACTCCACATATATTATATCATGGTGACCTGGACATCAGAAATTAATATCGCATTTTTTCCCCCTTTGCAACAGGTGAATGACCTCAGAGTCCAAAAGAAAGCTATATTTGAATTAGCCCTTATCATGAATGACCTCTCATCCAAACCTCATCTCAGAAGGAGAAAAAGAAGACAGAACAGAAAACAAGGAGAAATCAAACAGTAGTCTTTCCACCTGCAATTCTCAAGTTATTTGCTATTTATTAATATTTAATAATTTAGATTATTTATATAAATATATATTTTGGACACACTGACCAACTATTTATGATATCAACTGTTATATAATTAAAAACAAATATCTATTACTATATATATTCAATGATTATTTATGATTTTTATATTCCACCCATCCTGTGTCAAGCTATGACAAAATCCCCCTGCCAAATGGGCTTTTCTTATGCAGATTGCAGAATTTCACTACTGTCTGGAAGAATATCATTGTCCACACAGCAGTGAAGAGCAAGGTATATTTGTTTTTCCTTGTGAAGTTCTACAAATGAAGAGACTTTTCAGTCTGAAGTCTGCATTCTGAGCCAATTGTTTTCTTCTATTTGATTTCTGTGTCACATAATACTTGAATGTGTTACCCTTTCAAAAATGCAATATCCGAGTTGAATGTACCAACTACAGCTATGCAATACTATTTAAAACTAGAAGTGCACCCAGATGGGAAATAACTCTTTGGTTTATATGATCAATAGTATGGTTAAATAAAAGTTTGATTTTTGCAAGTATTTTTCTGTCTTGTCCTTTCACCGTCACTTTTTAGTGATGATATGGAATGGTAGAGGGGAGAATAGATTTGATTAGACTTGTGGGATTTGATATCAAGTCCTGGCTCTTATTAGTTGTGTGTTTATTGGCAAATTACTTACTTTTTTCGAGTCTTAATTTACTTATCTGTCAAATGGGGATAACACCTATCACTCTTTACTATTCCTTGCTATTAAACTATTATTTCACCTGAGTCCTACATCTAACATTAAGAACCATTGCTCAGCAAAGGGATCTGGGGCACTGCCCTCTCTCAGCCTTTTTATCCTCAAGAAGCCCCTTTGTTCTGGATCTAGTTCGGTTCTGGAGGACCTGTACTCTAAAGGAGAAGCTGGTGCCCTTTTATTACATTAGGTTTCATTAAACCCTCAAGCCCCATTGACTCCTTACTTGTGGATTAGGTGTGTTAGCCCATGACTAAAGCCTCTCCAAAGGAGGGAGTTAAAAAGGCATTCAATGCACAATGTAAATTTGGTATGGGACAGCTTTTTATTTTTTACACACAAAGGAACTGGTGAGGGACAGAAAAGACTCATAGATTCCCATCAAATGAACAACTTATCACTTAACAATAACTTAAGAACAATCACTTAACTTATAACTACTATTATATTTGGTTAACTATTAACTTATAACTACTATTGTATTTTTTCAGGAGGTTGATACTAAAAATAATCAGTATGTAAATGCAGTTTGCAGGACTGATGATTAGACATTTTACATTTCACATTGACTTTTAACTGTCCAAACAACTCCTGGTCTATGTCTTCTGGAAAGTGGGACAATCTTGGGCCAATCTTCTTGTTAGTGGTTATCTTCTCTAAGAATGCTAATGTAGTTGCCAGGATTACTCCCCAGGCCACCAATCAGCTCTGACCAAAAGGACATAGAACCTCTGGACCCCTTAAACTCATAAAGTCACCTCCAAGTGTATACACATCTATCTTAGGGCAGACACTTGTTCACCTAAGATCAGAAAAGTACCAACACAACCTATCTTTGCATGACCTCAGGCAACTGATCAGCCTCCCTGGGACAGAGTTTCCTCACCTGTTTCACTAAATAATATTTAAGATCTTTTAAAATTCTAAATCTGATTGTCCTAAGGAGGTATCACTCTCCCAGGGTTGTTATGAGGATCAAATGAGATAACATTTGTAAAGTGTTTAGCACAGTGTCTGGCACATAGTAGGTGCTATATAAATGTTCAATCCTTTCCCCTCTATTCCCCTGCATAAATATTAGTTGTTTGATGATGACAAACATATATTTCCTCAAATGACTTATAAACTCCCTGAAGGCAGAGACCATGTCTTTTACCTGTTTTCCCCCTTTATTAGTGCCTTGGGTGGGTAGTCAAAAAATTAATTCAGCTACATGCCATACCAGTCAACCTTGAGATATACGGAAGTGTAAAGACTATAGCTATCAGAGAAGTCAACTCTGAGTAAGAATGGTATATGAGGGGTGAAGGGAAGGTAGGAATTCCAGGAAATAGGGATCAAGGGAAGCCAGATCAGTGGCAATAAAATTACTTATTTGATTTTGTAGCTAGAAGGTTCAGCTTTTGGCTCCTCTACTGATTGCTTGGCAGTCACTTAGTCAGACTAACCCTCAGGTTCCTTATTTGTAAAACAAAGGGATCAGATTAGATGTTTTCTAAGGTCTCCTTCAGCTCTGAATGCTGTGGAGCATAAGCCCAAGGTTTAGAGGGCTTCAGATCACCCGTTGGGCTTGACTGTCCCATTTAGGTCAGCAAATAAAGTTATCATAAGCATCATTTTCTGGGAATCCCAGATTTCTTTCAAAACTTAGCTCAAGCACCACATTCTGCATGATTTTTTCCTGTTTCTTCCCTCTCCTAAGGTAATTTGTACATGTTTTGTGTGTGTATGTGTATGCGTACGACACACATGTATGCTTGTATGCATGTACATATGTATATGTTTCTTTTGCTTGTGAGAATGTAAGCTTTTTGAAGGCAAGGATTATTTCACTTTTGTCTTTATCTTCCCAGGGCCTACTATAGTGCCTGGTACATAGTAGGTTTTCAATAAATACTTATTGATTGATTGACATTTGAATATCAGAATCTTGTGTACTTTAATTAAATTCTACAAATGCATGTTTATTAAACATCTGCTAGGTATAAAGTATTGCAATAGGCCTAAGGGGCACAAAGACAAAAACAAAAAAGTTCCTGTCCTCTAAGAGCTTATGTTCTACTGGAGGGGACAGGGTTGGGAAAGACATAAGTAAGTGTATACAAAACATATACAAATGTGCATACACATTTATGTATATGTATATGTAGGTATATGTATACACATATTTGCATAGCATATACAGAGCAATTGTAAGAAGGTGGGAGTAAATAAAGAAAGGCTGCATGTAAGAGGTGGCATTTGGGCTGTGCTTGGAAGGCAGCTAGGAATTCTGTCATGTGGAGGTGAATAAAGAATAGGTTCCAGAAGAAGGGGAACACTTAGTATGTAGGTGTAAGATTAAATGTCAAGTACAGATGGGGCAGCTAGGTCGTGAAGTGGATAAAGCACCGGTCCTGAAGTCAGGAGGGCCTAAGTTCAAATTTGGCCTCAGACTACTAGCTGTGTGACCCTGGGCAAGACACTTAACCCTCTTTGCCTCAGTTTCCTCCTCTGTAAAATGAACTGGAAGAGGAAATGAGAAACTACTCTAGTATCTTTGCCAAGAAAATCCCAAATGGGATCACAGAGAACTGGACACAAATGAAATGACTCAATGACAACACCACCACAGTGAACAATGAGCAGATTTGATAGGAATGGAAAGCGTGTGAAAAGAAGTAATGATAAAACTAGAAAGGAAACTGAGGGCTGGAGAGGTTAAGTGACTTGTCCAAAGTCATGCAGCTAGCAAAAGGCAAATGGGAGCCAGGTGAATGGCAAATCCACTACTGAGGATTTTGTATGTTATCCTAAGCCATGGGTTCTTAACCTTCCTTGTGTCCTGGACCCCTTTGGTGGCCTGTTGAAGCCTATGAACCCCTTCTCAGAAGGATGCTTTAAAAATGCATAAAACACATAGGATTACAAAGGAAACGAATTATATTAAAATTAAGTGACTAAAAATAATTTCTTACAGAAAGGTTAGCTAATCTCAGGTTAGCCTATAGGCACTTAAAATCTTTTAGTAGGAGGTAACATTTTCAACTTTGTATTTTGAAAATATCTATTTGGAAATAGATATCTTCCCCAAGGTTGTGTGGAGAGTAAATCAAAGGAAAGAGACTAGAGGTGGTGAGATCAATTAGGAAGTTATTGTAATAATCCTGATGAGAGGTGATGGGATCCTGAATTATGGTGGTTGTGATGTGCAAAGACAGGCATGGTAAAATGTCTAATAACTGGCTCTCTGAAAACTAAGTTTCATACATATTGTTAACACTTCCTCCATCATTTTCTTGAGTCTTGATAATCAACAACACAATAAATCAAGCCCTGATTTGTAGCTTGCTGACTTCCAAGATGTAAATGCTCACACTGAAAATTGAACAGTTCTGAGCCCATAAGAGCTGGCACTAGTATACCCCTGAGAGAAGGGTGCAGATGGTAAATGAGTATGAGAATTAATAGTAGAATCAACAATAGAAAAACCGATTGCGTTGGGGGTTATGCTTGTGACCATTGATTGAATCAAGTTGGAAGAAATGAGGTCATTTTGCTGTATTAGGAATGTTGCCCAAACTCGGCTAGATATTTTGCTTGATGCAGAAAAAGTGCACAAGGGGGAGATTCCTATCAGCCAATGGTTACACAAAATGAGAATTTGGTCTTCCCATGACAAGGTTTCATAGATGGTAAGTTGCAGATTGACATGAAGGATCAAAGATGAAGACGCTACCACAGGATAACAAGGTAACGTAAAGCCACATCAGAGAAACCCTTGTATTCTTGGGCATCATCATCTTCACAGCATTCTGAAATAGGCCCGATAGCAAGAATGATTCTTTCTCCACTGGTGTTATCCATGGTCCATACCAAGAGCAGACCTCAATAGGCACTTCAAATAACTGTATTAGCTTTGCAATAGAATAAAATGGACTCCTATCTCACTTAGTAACAATGTAGTTTATTTTTGAAACATATCAATGGTTTCCTTGCTCTCAATGTCTACAGAATATGTTCATTATAAAACTATCTTATTGTCACTATCCATTAAGGTGCCTTGCGTGTTCATTTCAAATTTGATGGGTTGTTATTGTTAATGATTAATGAAATACAGAATTACAATTTTCCCTTCCACATTGCAACTTTCCCCATTGCAGTTTCGATATATTGTGGGTCAGCATAAGAAATTAAATGGGAATTTTTTAGGAGATTTGTGGGACCCACAGACAACATTGGAAAGCCAGCAGATGACACAGAAGAAGTTTAGAAGCTCAGAAATGTATAAAATATATGTATAGTATTGTATAATATCAACATATTGTATCCTTTAATACAATAAATATACACACTTCTTCTCTGGTATGGGGGGCCAAAAAAATCTACGGGGGTTTTCTAGATCTTGGGAGTGTTGCTCCTTTAACCCCATGATGTGGGAGGGATAAATGTAATGAGAACAAGACCAGAATGGGAAAGGACCTCAAGATTATGTCACAGGAGGACTGATGGAAAGAATGTTTAGCCTAGACAAGAAAGATTAGAAGACATAGGGGGAGGTGTAGGGATGTCTTTAAGTATTTGAAGGGCTGTTGGAAGGAAGAAGAGGTACATTTGTACTTCTTGCTTCCAGATCAAAGAGTTAGGAACAAAAGGCAGACATTGTAGAGATTTAGGTTTAAGATAAGGAAAAACTTCCTATTAATGACAATCGTCCAAAAGTGACATGGGCTGACACAGGTAGTAGGTTTGCCACTCCTTGGAGGTCTTCAAACAAGAGCTTGATGGATGATCCTTTGTTAGGGATGTTAGGGAGG